TCTCTCTCTCTCTCTCTCTCTCTCTCTCTCTGCCAGTCTGTCTCGCTCCCTCTCCGTCTTTCTCCTTTTCCCCTGACGAACTTGTTCTAACAACCACCTGTGTAAGACAATCCCTTGCAGAAAACAGTCCCTTTCCATTTCCCCTAGATCAACTTAGTTGTTTTTTTTACATCTTAATGACACTATGTACGACAACCACTTGTCTAAGACGACGACTTTTCTCCTCGAGAAAGGGTAGCCATTTTTTATTCAGTTATGACTGCACTCTTACCAGAACTTTCATTGGACTCCCCTGCCTGGTGCTTTTATTTAATTTTTCTGATTATTATTTTTTTCTTCTTCTAGATTGACGATGAGATTTGATTTATAGCCTATTATTATGGTTGTTGGAATGAGATAAGGGTTTCCGCTTCGTGTTTTTGACAAAGAATTTTGTCTAAAATATTGCATCATTATTCTTAAGTGTTTTTATGTTTTACTTTTACCTGTACTTTCACTGGACTCCCCATAATGTTTTACTTATGCCTTATTTATTTTTACTTTCTTTTGGCCTATCGATGGGATTCCCACTTCATGTCTTTCGCAAAGAATTGTTTTAAAATCTTGCCAGTTACCAGGTATTTTTTATATAATTCTATTTTTACCAGTACTTTCACTTGACTCCCCGTTGTCTTTATTTTCAATATTATTTTTCTTCCCTTTTCCTTTTAGATTATAGATGGGATTTCCACTTAATATCTTTGACTAAAACTAAAAATTCGGTTATAAAATAATATTGCATTTTATCGGGTGTTTCTATATTTTACATTTACCCGCACTTTCACCTGACACCGGACTCCCGAGCAGGTGCGACGCTGAAGGTTATTCTGGACATCAATCTGGAGACGGCCATCATCGTGTCCGCGGCTATCTCCTTAGCCTACACACTGGTGGGGGGCCTCTACTCTGTGGCTTACACCGACGTGGTGCAGCTCATGTGCATGTTCTTTGGTCTGGTGAGTACGATGAGATAGGATAAGGAAAGATTAGATAAGATACGATAAGATCAAATGAGGGGGGATGAGAGAGATGAGATGAGATGAGACGAGACGAGACGAGATGAGGTGAGATGAGATGAGATGAGTCGAGATGAAATAGAATGAGATGAGATAGAATGAGATGAGATAGAATGAGATGAGATGAGATGAGAGAGATGAGATGATAAAAGATACGATAAAATAAGATAGGATGAGATGAGATAACATAAGATAAGATAATCTACAGTTAGATTAGATAAGATTATAAGATGTCACTTTTTGTCTCCGTGAGTAATTTTTCTTGGCTGTACAGGAAAGGTAAAACACATCCTACTTATATAGAATATAAATTATACATCATTCTCATTTAAATTCAAAGTTTACAGTAGAAATTACCTAAGACGACCACCCGTTGTCGAGGAGAATATTGTTTTCTTATACAAGTGGACGTCTTGCACAGTGGTATTATGATATTAGAACAAACAAAAAAGGGTGAGGGGTGGGTAGTAGTGAGTAAAAGTGTGAGTGTTTGTGTGTGTATGTGTGTGTGTGTGTGTGTGTGTGTGTGTGTGTGTATGAGTGTGTTTTGTGTGTGTGTGTGTGTGTGTTGCGTGCGTGAATATTGTACGTATATGCATTTATGTAAAGCACCAAGAGCTGTGTTTACACGGGAGTGGGCGTTATAGAAATGATCTTCATTATTATTATTATTAAAGTAAATGGTTCCCGTATCCGATCCAGACATTGGGGATTGCCTTGTTAGTGAGACAACTTCCAGGACCTTTGACATATTGTGGTAGGGTGGCCAGTCCCTTTCCCCGCCGCCTTTACCTCGTCAACTCGAAGTCAGGTACCCAGTACTGCTAGGTGGGCAGGAGGAGGCGAAAAAATCCGTGTCCGAACCGAGGGTCGAACCCGCACTTTCCGCTTCCGAGACGAGAGCACTAACCGCTACGCCACCGAGTATGGTGTAGTGAGTTTGGAGTTGAAAATGTAAAAGACGATCATCCATTGTCGAGTAGAAAATTTGGAGACTTATATAAGTAGAAATCGTTATAATAATACTTTTACTTTTTTTTCTTCCGCTTGTACCGGTGGGTATCGCGGGGAGACACAGGCGTCTGTCTGCAGTAAGGCGAGTGGCCTGTAGGAGGGACATACCATGAGCTCTGAGGGTGTCTGCCACAGATTCACTCTATCGTCGCCTTGGTCTGCCTCTGGCTCTCCATCCAGAGTATTTAATGTTGTATGCTCTCAGAGCTGGATGGTTTGAGGGCATCCGCGTGAGGTGTCCGAACCACTTGACTGGTTATAATAATATTAAGGGGGAAACGGATGGAAGGAAGTGGGAAGTGGTTTGTACATGTACTGGTGATTGCCTTAAACAGGTGGTTGTTAGAGCAGGTTCAACCGTACCTTTTGTACCTGTGTATCTGGTTGAGTGAGTGGTTAGACTTTTTGCTGCCGCACACAGGAGACTCGAGTTCAACTGTCTGGCGAGAAGAATTTTTTCAGAGTATCTCGGTCTATCTGCTAGGATGTTGTACCCCTCTCAGCCCGGGTTGGCGGACACCACAGGCAGAGTCAAAGCCCGCCTCCTTGACCCTATCCGTACGCCCTGGGGTCATTTTGTACCCCCCCCAGGATTGTATTCTCCATATTTTAGAATACTTTTAGTACGTAGATCTCTTTGAAACTTTCAGTATTTCTCAAAAAAATCGTTTTGACAGACTGCTATGCAAAGCGTACGGATCGGATTAACGAGTAAATTTCCTTTTTGGAGTTCCCCACACCATATTATGGATACGATAGTAAAACACGACGTACGGATAGGGTTAATGCATTAAATTGTAATCGACATGGGCGTAGAAGCCTCAACATCAAAATTATAAAATGAATCGTTGTACAATGAGGGTAAGGGGTATTAATGGAATGCATCATACTCAATTGTCTTACCAAAAGGTAGTGCAAGTTCATTGACTTTGACGATAATGGGGGAGAGAGAGAGAGAGAGAGAGAGA